CTGTCTAAGTTACGACATGTGTAGTTCCATGTTGTCACTAAAGTTCTTCGTATATTCTAATTAGCATAGTGCACACAGCGAACATAGAGATCAGAGAATGCGTCAAGTGGTCGCTTACAAGAGGTTAAAAACAATGGAAAATCATTAACCGTCAGGCCCAAAAAGTGGTCGCGGTCGCTTACAGGAGGTGGTCGTTTACTAGAGGTTTCAACTGTAACCGGCTTTGACTGGAAAATTTTGGTGTTTTGGATAGGTGGTCGGTTATGGAAAGTGGTCGCTTACGAGAGGTGGTCGTACGTGGAGGTTCGAGGTTCCAATGTGCATATTTATGTGAGTTTATAAAATGTGAATAACGGGATCTAAGTACATTTGCTCTGTCGAGACGTGGAATAATTTGAATTTTGGAAATGAAAAATTATTATACTTTTAATACAAAGGCGCTGCATTCGGAAATTTTCACATCAATTTTGCATTAGTGTGCCGCGAGGGTTGTTAAACCCTGATTATAATAGTTTACAATAACGTCTAATTAAAGGAAAACAATTGAAACTTTGGGGTGATTCGGATCAAGATGACGGTCATGTTGCAATAAAGGAACAAAATAATCTACTCTGGACACTCTCTTATCGATTCCTTAATTGCACCATGATCCTGATCCTGATCATCTCATAGGAACTCACCCCATATTTCCCTTTTTTATAGCTAGCACACCAGATTTCCCAACCCATAACGGGAACCAGATTGAGATTGTCCTCACCTTTGGTACAAACAACAAACAAATTGTAGAAGTGGTTCCTGCGAACACGACGGATCTGTTAATCAAACTCCTGAGAGAAGGGTACTCAACGGCAAACGTAACCACAAAGCCCAAAAAGGAAAACATGAACACGTTATAGACCGCCAAAGCAATGCTCTTGGAATCATTTAGAGCAGGATGATGTACGTTTCGTGTTTCCCAGGCCAGAAATACTCCGAATATCAACATAATCCCTTTCAAGCTGAATAGTGACGCCAACCAGGTCAAATGATAATTGGAGGTGGATCGATAGCTCAATATTTCTACCCTAACGTCATCGTCAACAGAATTTACCTGCAATACAATGAGAAATAATTAGCCTCTAATTCTGTCTGAATAGCTCTCGTTCGATAAAAAATTCTAGCATGACACCAAGGCTTTACGAACAAAATTGCAAATTTTTCACGACTCCATTGTCTCGCAATTCCCAGAAGAGACTTGAGCACAAAGAAAACCAAACGAAATATAAAAATGTCACCAGAAAGCATCGGAGTCATGTTAGAATTTTAATTTTAATATATCGAACGTGGGCTATTGTGAAGGTAAAGGTTTGAGCATAATAGTCAGCTGGCAAGCGAATTAAGAATTGTGCTAGCATACTATTAGGCAAGCAAAGCTTCGTGTACTCTATCTTTTACAAGACAGAGACAGAAAAGAAAGGGAAAGAGGGGCTTACCAAATCCATGGTATCTGCCCACTGATGAAGGAGGTCTGTATACAAAATGGCCAAAAAGATATCCTTGTCGTATTCTAATAGTTTTAAAATTTTATTAGTTGACTCCAAAAGAATAAGCGCAACAGTGTGTAACTTTAAACATACTTGAAAAGCCTTCTGAGGTCCCAAAGGCTACCTTATATACTTTAGCAGTGGACCGAACTCTTTCTTACTTTTTGGAAAATGTGTTGGACCTTACCTTAAGTTACATTTTTATGACACGGTTCGTTTTATCGTCATGGCCATTAATTGAGGTTCATTGGTGACATTGTTTGATTGAATGATTTTTACAGAGTCGAGCCTTTTACACAGTTGAGCCGCTCGTTTTACATCAAATCGTATTTTGTCGTCGTGATTGCACAACCAACGTTGCCAAACGTGGTGGAAATGGCAGTGAAAGTCGCTTTAATCTCTACTTCATCAAGGGTGATCGTCGCGACTGCAATTTCGTTCGGAAATACAGAGGCTTGCAGTTAGTTAGAAGTGTAGTGCACTCTGCTGGTATAGTAGAATTCCGGCTTCACTAACGTTAAAGCCCTGGAGATTCAGTGGTTAGAACGTCCGATCTAGTATTCGGAGGGCGGCGAATTCGATTCTCACCCGGGGCACGAAAATTCTTCTTCCAACTGAAAATGCTCACTGGAATTGTACGTGTGCTACTCACTGGTACATCATTAACATTAAAATTAAAATAAACGTGACAGCTTTTTCATAACCCATAAAAGTCATGCCTTTCTTACCTCGAAAATCGATTCCTTCTTTATCGTCATTGGATCAACAACTGCCCAACATGACAGAATAATAACATCAATAAACCAAACAGCGACGATCCTGAGCAGAAGACTTCTGTTACTCAGATTGCCGACCTATAACAAGAAAAAAAAAACGTTTTCGTTACAGCCAGCCTTGAGGACAACAATGAGACATATTTTGCGTAACAGTAATAGTAATGAAGGTCTTATAGTGATGTTTGAAGGATTAATATGTATTCTTTGGACGATTTTAATCGATGTTAATGATATCAGATTTTATGACGATGCTACATGGGCATGACGGTGTTGTATGATGATGATCATGAATTTAATACTATGATGATCATAGTGACGAAGCTGATGAAGATGGAAGTGTTCAGTGATGATGGTCATAGTCACATTGCAGTGATTTTCGCGATTAATCAGCAGTACGTTTCCGACATTTTCGATACACTGAAACTAGATTATAATACATACTATCTTAATTGGTTGTCCCTTCTTGTCTTACCCTTCTCCGCAGTTGGGTATTGGTAAAAATTTTATAAATTCTCCAGGTTTTCACGAACATCCCACCAAAGGCTAAAGTAAAACCGGTAGACAGTAAAAAGGCAGTTATCTGCAGGCAAAAAAAGTAATTGTCTGATCACATCTCTAGAACAGAATTTAATGAAAGGGCTTTCCCTTCTCATTCGTACATCGCTACAGAAAGCAAATTATTTTCCCTTTAAATAGAAATAGCGCAAAATTTCTCCTGGGCGACGTCTCGTCTTAACTGCGGTGTTATGTTTCCAATTTTTAAGGTAATTTCCTTATTTGTTTTTAACTCAGTTTTTTTACATAACCTCAAGTACAGCTAGACACGACTGAATAAAGATGTTTAAATTAAAAAAGATAATGCAGAAAAAAAAATTCGAAAAAAAATTGGTAGCAAATTTTTGCGACAGAGTGCAATCCTGGACATAAGTGTATGGGCACAAGTTTGTATTTCAGACAACAACACCTGAAAAGGATTTGCGAGAGATTGGCGTTCTCTCCATCAAAAAACAGTTTCAGAACATAGCAATAACACTCAAAAAAGTTTATAGGATGTAAAATTCAAAAACGCTAAGAACGTGCACTAATGAAATAGATATTAAATGGATAACGTCTTACATAACAAAGGCAGGGATTCTGCTCTGCTGAAGAAGGGTCGATATACGTTGACCAGATCACTTCCACGTAACACAACATACAACCCACTACTGTCACGTTGTTGAAATGAGGAGACGACATTTTTATATACCTAAAAACAAAAAGCAGCTTTTAACTCGTAACAGTACTACTCCGTTGAGGCGAATGAACAATCCATTTTTTTTTTTTTTCAATGTTCTGAAAATTTCGTTCCTGTAGAATCGGACTTTTGTTGTTGAGCAAATGAGGAATACTCTAGTTACTCTAATTAGCTCCCTGGGGGCTTATTCTTTCTTTTTATTTTTCAATACTTGTAGACTGGAGGCTTACTTAAGGTCGGGGGCTTGATTATTGCGATTAGGTGTGGGGAATTAATTAGGGGAGGCTGGGGACTTATTCAATTTTTGGCGCTTTGAATGATATATAAGGAAATCAAATACAGTCTAGCTGCATGTGCGAAAACATTTCGTAAGCGACGACCTCCAATAAGCGAAAACCTACCCAAAAAGGCCAAAATTTTCCCAGTCAAAGCCTTACAATATGACCCTTACGGAAACGATAACGAAACTGAATGCAAGGCTGGAAATATGGCAAAGGGCTGATTTATTTGAGGTCAATATTTCGGCTAAAAAGACAACACATAGGTGAAACTAAACGCACGCTTCGTGAAAGCCTTAAAGGACACAGACAGGCCACGAACAATCCACTCCACGCTAACGCCACAACAGCTGTTCCCTCGAACTTCAATCAAACTGGCCACTCGATCATAGACATAGCACTTATATTATTCTACTTGAACTGCAACCTACACTTAGTATGTCACGCCGTAAAGCAAGAGAAGCTTACCTCATGAATAGAGGCAAAACTCTTTCACCACACGGTTTAAACCGCAAGGACGAACGTTGAACTTCACTTTATTGTATGACTGATTACTTACCAATCATTATGCTATCTATTTTTCTCATTTTAGTTTATCATTAACCTCTTAGTAACTTTAAATTCAAATTTCAGCCTAGCTCAGGCCCTGAGGAAAAGGCTTATTTTGTTAGCCGAAATATTGGCCTCAAATAAATCACCCCTCTGCTGTAGTGCCAGCCTTGCATTCAGTTTTTGGCTCTAGCATCTCTACTTTAGAGATCCGGCAAGAAGGTACCAGTCTGTTTTATTTACTCGTTGACTGGACCTCTGCATTCAGGGGTTTTCTCACGGGAACGACCATCTCCTGTAAACAACAGCGAAATCTTTTAGGGGCTAACGGTTTATAACTTTTCTTTCGAAGTTCACAAAAATGCATGCAATAAATTATTTTCCATAGAGATGTTTCTGGGCCTCTTTCCGCAAGATACCCACTGCGGTTTGGTTGTTGTAAATGAATACCTCTCATAAGCGAGCACTAAGTCTCATTTTGGGTTGGCTGTTCGCTTTGGCAGATTCGGCTTTAGTTATATAATAACACAGCTTCTATGATCTGCTGTTGCTACTTACTCTTTTTTGCGGTAAATGCTGTTGAGAAACAGACAACACAAGGAAAATAACAACCCAAGACTGGCCAGGACAAAGAAAGTAATAGTCACGTAGATATTTTCCGCTGGTTGCTTAACATCGGTTGTAACACCGTCCACTGGAATTTTACCTCCTGTCAGAGAACGATGAAACAGCATTTACAGCAACAACAAAACCAAAACCACATATCCAACTGGCACAAATCTGTGGTTGCTAAACGTTTTGTCCCGCTTCAAAGACGTTCTAATACTAACGCAATTCTTTTCTAAAGAGGGTTCTCAAAAGACTGCAAAAACAGTATTTATGAGCCACCATGTTGGTAATATACTGAAGTCATTCTTTCCAAAGTAAAATTTGATTGAAGCTTAAGTGGATGGAAAGTTTGAACTATTTTTCTTTCCTTCCGGCTTCGTTCATTCAAAATGGATGCAATGCCAAACTTCTCGTCGATTTCTTGTTATATTAAAATAAATGGCGTCACCAATGATCCAAAATAGGGGCCCATTATCCCGAATTTTTGAAATCTTAAGAAGAGAAGGGCGTTGGGATCGGATAGATTTTGAAGGCTAGTCAGAAAACCGCGAGAGTAATCAATCAAACTTTTATCTTTTTAGCAGTAATTAGAAAAGTAATGTCCGTCGCCTGGTCCTTGATGAGGAGACAACAGAAATCTGAACTCAAGGGCACTGTGAAAATCGAATCTAAAGTCATTAATAATTCAAAAAAGGATATTAAATATTGAATCAATATATCAGGCGCCTTAAAAATGATGATGTAAGGGTAATAAAATTCAAAACAATCAATTGTTGACCTGCAAAAATGATTTGAAACCCTTTACAACATTCGCGGCGTGTTACACTGCTTGCTATATCCTTGGACGTAATTCAACACTGCTGCCAATGTTTCAAATAATACATACTATCTTACGACTTTTAGTGTTAAGTACTTGTTTTATTTTTCATTTGATTTCCACAAGAATTTTTTATCCGATATCCAGGTACCTCGAAGTGGTTAAAAAAAAAAAGATTTTGCAACGACTTTTTTCAGAAGGTCAACCCACTTTCCCGTGTCTAGATATCGGAGGAACACTCACACATGGCAGTGCAGCCTCAAACTGTAGTGTCTGTAGTGTATGCCGGGATATGTAAAGACTATTATGGGTTAGACGAACAAGAGACGCACCCTTTCGATTGCACAGGCAATCCGACTAGCGTGGGACCTCTTTGGAGACGATGAAATCGTTTTTTTGAGTTTTTTATCAAGGCCAAGGGCATCACAAAGGATACACAAAAACGAGTCCTACTTTTGCATTGCGCTGGACAGGATTTACAGGGCATTTTCGTTACGCTGAGTGACCCTGGACCAGCCCCAGATGGAGAAACGCAGCATGCGAAAGCTGTGCGTTTAGTGGACGCACATTTTTTACCACAAGTTAACATTCCATTTGAACGACATCAGTTTCGTCAAGCAAAACAGGAGGAGTCCGAGACGGCAGACCAGTTTGTGACCAGATTGTTCCAGCTTAGCGAGAATTGCTACTTCGGAACATCCAAGGAAGAACAAATTCGCGATCAGTTAATTGATAAATGTCGGTCACATGATCTTCACAAGGAACTTCTCGCTGTTAGCGGCAAACTCACACTTCATAAGGCTCGAGTTATTGCGAGGTCCATGGAAGCTGCTGAAAGTCAGGCACGATCGATTGAAAGCGATTCACTGAGCGGAAATGTGAATTACTTAGAGCGGGAATATTTTGATTCGCCTAAACGTGGCGGGGGACGTTGTTACCGCTGTGGACTCGAGGGACATTTTTCAAGGGATCCATAGTGCAAGGCAAGACTGGCTACTTGTATGAAATGTAAAAAAGTGGGGCATTTCGCAAAAGTTTGTAAAACGAAAGAACAAGATACCAGCAGACCCAAGAAAGGAAATATACACCAAGGCACCAAAGATGATGATTTCGCCTTCACCTTACAGTCTAGTGGAAGAGATATTCCCACCATAGACATCGAGCTCGGAGGTGTTCGACTGGAAGGGGTTCTTGTCGATTCTGGTTCCACCTGCAATGTTATTGACAGAGCGACGTGGGAGACGCGTAAGGAGAAGAAAGTGAAATGCGTGTCAAGGAAATCTAACAGAAAGCTGTACTCCCATGGATCCAATGAGCCACCTACTGCTGCTGGTGAGTTTGAAACTGAACTTTGTTACAAAGATAAACGTTGCCATGTGTGTTTTATTGTTGTGGAAGAGAAAGCAAGGGCAATACTTAGCAGGGATACCCCAGAAGAGCTGGCCATACTGAAACTTGAAATCAATGCCTTAAAAGAAGAAACCCTGCCTAGAGATTTTCCTGAGTGTTTTAAGGCAGTAGGAAAACTTAAGGGTTTCTAAGCAAAGCTCCACATTGATGAATCAGTTAAACCTGTTGCACAGAAGTTGAGACCCCCACCTTATGGGCTAAGGGACAAAATAGAACAGAAACTCGAGGAACTAGTGGACTGTGCTATTGAACCGGTTGAAGGTCCTACCCAATGGGTGAGTCCGGTCGTGTTGGTTCCCAAACCCTCGGGAGACATAAAACTCTGCGAAGACATGAGGAAAGCTAATGAGGCTATTGTAAGGGAACGTCATCCCATACCCACGGTTGATGACATACTCTACCAACTGAATGGGAGCAAGGTGTTTAGCAAATTGGACCTCAAATGGGGGATTCAACAGATTGAGTTGGAGCAACAGTCTAGAGTTATTACCACATTCATTACTCATAGGGGGTTGTGCAGGTATAAACGCTTGATCTTCGGAATCAGCTCTGCCCCAGAGCTTTATCAGCACACCATTCAACAAGTGCTGGCCGGGTGTGAGGTAGCCTGCGCGCAGACGAAATTAAACTCTGGTTAACTCCGTCTGCGAAACAGCGCCGAAATCCTTGTTCTGGACTTCCAGCTGTGTACCCAGATTTGAGTACGCGCCACGATTGGCCAGTTAAAAAAGGCCTTTGTTTTGTTTGTCGTGATCGCCAATCAGGTTGAAGGGGAATTCGAAACGCACTTCCGGTAATTCGTTGAGTCCGTTGGGGGTCCAGAACAAGGATCTCTGCGCTGCTTCGCAGACGGTACTAATCAGAGTTTAGTTATCGTCTGCACGCAGGCTAGGTGTGAGGGTGCCTACAACATACACGATGACATAATTATCCATGGTCGTACAGTTAAAGAGCATGACAGCGGGTTACAGAAGACCATTGAGTGTATTTGTGACAAAGGACTAACCCTCAATCCGGAAAAGTGTGTGTTTAGGTTTCCTAGGATTAGTGAACTTTAGCGCCCGTTTGATCCCCAACTTAGCAAGTATCACAGAACCACTCAGAGAGTTGACAAGGAAGGATGTACCGTTCAGTTGGGGCACCGAACAGGAAGTGGCATTCGAAACCCTGAAGAGTAACCTGGGACGGGCAGAAACATTGGCATATGTCGACAGAAATGCAGAAGTAACCAAGCTAATTACAGATGCAAGCCCGGTAGGCCTTGGAGCGGTGCTCACACAGGTCCAGGAGGGACAGGAGCGTGTAATTGCGTATGCAAGTCGTGCTTAACAGGAGTTGAACGCAGATACTCACAAACAGAAAGAGAGGCATTGGGACTTGTGTGGGGATGCGAGAGATTTCATATGTACCTGTAGGGAATACAGTTCACGTTGCTGAAAGGCTACAAGCCTCTAGAAACTATTTACTAGATTAGTTCCCGTAATTCAGCTCGGATAGAACGCTGGGTACTTCGACTTCAACCATACAAGTTTCGGGTGCAGTATGTGCCAGGTAAACAGAACATTGCTGACTCTCTTTCACGATTTGTTGATAAGAAACAGGTGAGTGGTCATGATGATGCTGAGGAACTTATTCGTTTTGTGGCAGAAGCATCAGCACCAGTAGCAATACCCATCAAAGAAATTGAGAAAGAATCAGCTACCGACCCAGAAATTTCACAACTACGAGAATGCATCTCAACAGGAGACTGGGACAAAGCCCCACCCCAGTACAAACATGTCAGAAATGAACTCTCTCCCCTAGGAAAGTTAGTATTAAGGGGAACGAGGTTGCTAATTCCAAGGAAACTACTCGAAAGAGTGCTAGACTTAGCACATAAGGGTCATCAGGGGCTGGTAAAAACCAAACAGAGACTTCGTACAAAGGTTTGGTGAACTGGAATTGACAAGCAAGTGGAAAGCCGGTGTAAGACCTGCCATGGCTGCCAACTGGTTGGACTGCCTACACCACCAGAGCCCTTACGGCAAACAGAGTTTCCAAGCCAACCCTGGATTGACCTAGCCGCAGACTTGATGGGGCCTCTACCGTCGGGAGAAGATGTACTGGTCGTGGTTGATTATTACAGCCGATATTTCGAAGTAGATATTCTGACGTCCGTGACATCCACTAAAGTCATTGAAAGTTTGGAGAAGATTTTCTGTATCCATGGGTTACCGCAGTCGTTGAAAACTGACAACGGTACACAGTTTGTGTCCGATGAATTTGAGTGTTTCCTGAAAACGAATGATATAGAGCATTGCACCTCGACCCCGCTCTGGCCTCAGGAAAACGGGGAGGTCGAAAGACAGAACAGAAGCTTGCTTAAAGCCCTTTAGGACCGCTAAAGCTGAAAAGAAGAATATCTGGACCGACATGCGAAAGTTCTTAACAGCCTACAGAACGACACCTCACAGCAGTACAGGAGTCACGCCGGCCAAACTTCTGTTCAACAGAGAAATCAGATCAAAGATTCCTGAGCTGGGAAACTCGTGGCACTCCGACAGTGAGGCAAGAGACAAGGATGCAGAGGCGAAGCAGGAGAGGACCTACTATACTGACGAGAAAAGGAGAGCTCGAGAGAGTGACCTTGAACCTGGTGATTTAGTGCTTTTAAAACAGAGGAAAGAGAATAAGCTCTCAACCACTTATGGCGCACTTCCATATACCGTTAGCAAGAAGCACGGGAACGAGGTTGTCTTATCGTCACCCGAAGGGGTGAACGTGAGGAGAAATGTGGCTGATGTTAAGAAATACTTGAGAGGGGACACAACCGGAGATGAACAGGTTGCTGAAGATGACTCCTCCGAGGAAAATAACACCGGAAGGATAACAGAACCCCAAGGGATACCAGTAAGAGAAAGGAGGCCATCGGAGTACTTAAAAGACTACAAAGTGTACGAACTCTGTTAAGTGGAAGAGTGGGACTTTATTGAACACTTTAATATTCAGTTTTACTGAACACTTTAATGAGGCTCGCGTTAGAAGCACATTGCCAGCTCAGAAAGACACTTTATTGAACAATTTAATTAGTTTCGCGTTAGAAGCGTATTAACCCGTTCATGTTGTGTTTCGTCGATGTTAAGGTCTTGTTCTTAGGGAAAGAGGGGTTATAGTGTATGCCGGGATATGTAAAGACTGTTATGGGTTAGAGGAACGAGAGACGTACGTGAGTCGAGGAGTTTAGAAAGGCGATGCCTTATTCGGCCGTTGTAATCCGGTTCAATCCGTAGCTTGAATGCGTATATTTACACACTACAGTGTCTCTCGTGAAAACCGGTTGCACCACGATCTTGCAGCGAGCAATAGTTTTCCTTTGCGTAGAGGAGCAACGTTGTATGTATTATATCTGTTGACAAAATACACCCTATCCTTGAAACTTAAGGGTTCCTTCAGAATTTAATAAAATCGTCATGTAAAAAGAACTATAGGAACTGATCAGTAGAGCAGGAATCAATTTGCCGTTTACTTGTTACATTTCTTTGGTTTCCCCTTTAGTGTAAGTGAAGCACTAGATCTGGAAACCAAAGAAACATCTAAATCCTTACTTTTCCACTTAAAACCGTCCTTGGTAAAATTTAGCTTTCCATCGCTGGCATCAAATATAGCAGCAACCCCTAAAATGGAATTATACATTAACATCAAATTGTCAGTTCAGTGGATATGGTTTTGACATTAAAAAGAAGCATTTTACTTCTTACAGCCGACAACCTTTACCGAAGCATTTACAACTATAAATCTTCCTTCTTTTTTCCAATGGAGTGTGTGGAGTTTTCTGGGACTTAATCAGAACCTTGGATCTGATTTATCATTCTGTCTTCAATCAGTCGACAAACTTTATTCAAAATGGGACATAAAAGGTTAAAAATTCCCGTTACCAAAATGTACAATGACAGCCAAACCTACTAGGAAGTGTTTGAATAAAAAGTGCGGATTGGGTGATAAACTTTCTTTTATGTAGTAGTCAGTCAGTTATACTGATGTGTATCTGACCCTAGCAACTTAACTTAAGGTGTTCCCCAAGGACCCGTATCTAGACCGTTGTCACTTATTATTTTATTAAATGACTGATCTTGAACAATGGTTGTGCATTCTGATGATCACCTTGCATTATGCTCACAAATAAACGTGTTCTTGAACAAGTCAATGCCCTTGATAATTGGTCTTGGACAATAGATTGATAGAAATTTGCACAAAAATTTGAATCGATTTTTCCTTGACGAAATGTGCCTGATATACTGTCTGTCAGTGCCAAGCTCTCCAGGATAAAGATTCTGTATAACTATACTTTGGTCTTAATTCAGATAGTCTAATTTACTCCAAAACCTTACATTTTCCAGCATTAGCATAGTATCCTAAGTTTGAAACAGTTTCTTTGACAAAAAAAGTATTTAAAATAGTTCATACGGTGGGCGCTTTATATTCCGATTGTTTCTTCACAACTTGCTTTGAAAGCTGTTGGCTGATGTAATGAGAACTTGGTACTTGATGATATTCCAATTCTGAGATTCTAGCACTCTTTTGCTTGACACAATTTAGTGGTAAAAGTACTTCGTGTACTTCAATTCAATGTGATTAGGCTCCTAATTTCAATGAAGAGTTCTCGTGCCACCCCATGTGCCGATGAATTACTCGCCAAAAAAATTATGAATAAGATGTCAGGGAATTAGGAAGCTTTAGAAAACATTAACGCACGAAAGAGTATATCAAGAAGGATTGTGACAAGCATTTTGTCATAAAATTCAGAAAATTGTAAACGTAATCTAAAATTTATGCTCTAAACTTTTCAGTGTGTGAAGTTCTCGGTCCCATAAACAAGTCAAAAATTCACGATTGTAAAAGCGTAATTTGTCACCCCTGATATTAATAAGTAATCGATGGTATACTCGCAAGCGTTTTGTCCAAAATCTAATTATTATTAATATTATTATACTATAATAATATTCGTAAATTTTTTGGTCTCCACTTACGTTTATTCCCAATTACTTCCACAAGGGACATCCTATCTCCATCTTTATTAAACGATACGCGACCCTGGAGAAAATAACATATAACATATTAAATTTCTATGCCTCACTTTACTGAAATCCCGTAG